CTCCTAAAATTTAGAGACTTGTGGATTAAAGAAATGGAGGCGTACAAGAAGGCCATGGAGAAGAAAATAGAGTAGATTTTGGTTGCTGGAAATAAGGTAGTAATTGTTTGTTGATTTGTTTTTTTGCCCCCCATTTAGTTGTTGAATTGAATAGGGCATTATGAGCATATGATAATATTGGTATGATCTTCCTATTGTTTACTCCTTAGTTGTTTTATTAATGTTGAAAATAACAACCACCATGATTGTTGTATTAGTTTTGGTTTTTAATTTGTTTATAATTTGTCAATTTTGAGTTTGAGAGCTATTTGTTGTTGGGGGTAGTAACGAGCACTAACAATCACCCGATTGTGAATCCAACGCAAATTTGGAGTAAGGATATTTTTATACATGTAATATGTTGTTTTAATTTCTAAGTATATGTAGTTTTGGAGCAATGTGTTTACCTCCAATATCTCGTGTGTAACATTTGAGTTCATAGTGAAATCGTATTTACATTAAACATAGTTTTAATTTTAGTTTTAGTTTTGGGGTGAATCATAAAAATCTTATGTTGTGTGTGCATGTGATTTACAATTCTTGTGCATTTGTTCTTGTCGGATCATATCTCACCAATCATAATTAGATATTTACAAACTCGGCAAATTCTATCAATAGTTCTTATATTTTACCGCTTGTGTCAATTTGCTCCTTACGCTTTCAATTAGCTCAATATTAACTCTTAATTTTAGATTTTATGTCAGTTTGATCCAATTGATAATATTGTTAGGATTTTTGATGAAAAATTATCATTGAGTTGGTTGAAATCAACTCCCTGAATTGATTAAGTTTACAATTTTACCGTTAAAAGCATAACATGTGCTGTTCATGAGTGCATTCCTCATAAAAAAAAAATGTTAATAGTTGTAATCAATCTAATCAATTTGAGACAAAATAAAAAATTCATGATCAAAATAGAATCAATTGAAATTATAAGAATCAAGATGACACATAAGGCCAAAGTACAGAGACTAGCGATATAATTTTCCTTACAAATTCCTAACATTTGAGTTAATATGTTGTTAATTTTATAGCTTTATTAAACTTGAACTTTTTCAATGTGTTGCTAGGTTGGTAAAAATATATTGCACTAATCCCCTCACTCCACCCAGGGAGTTTAAATTGTGATAAGAGGGACATGGGTTCGAATATGTATTGCTAGGCTAGTAAAAATATATTGCACTAATCCCCTCACCCCACCCAGGGAGTTTGGACTGTTGATAAATGGGACATGGGTTGACAGGGCACATAAATATTAGATCTTCTGTTTGGATAAAAAATTTGAAAATAATTTTTTTGAAAAAAAAAAAAGAAAAAAAGAAAAGAAGAGAGGAAGAGTGAAGAAAATAGAAGTTAAATTTTGTTTTGTTTTCTTTTCCTTTTTCCATTCTCTTTTCAAATGTAGAGCCTTATACTCTATTTGGTTCATTACAATAAGATAGAATGGTCATTTCTTAAGTTCTCCTATGGAATATGATCATTCCCTTATAATGGTAAATAATGATTATATTTGTAATGTATTTTTTATTTATTTTTTTAGTCGACCAAACATAATTCTGATGGAATCATTATTCTATTTTACTATATTCCAGTGAACGAAACACTACTTTAGGATTTCCGAGGAGTTAGAATAAGAAAATTTTAGAATTGTTGAGTTTGTTGTGTCATCAAATTTGGTTTAAAGTTCAGCAGCAAGGAAGGAGTATACCAGTGTCATCTTCAGCCTTTGATGTGTATTAGTCATATGTTCATTCAATACTTTTCACTCTCAGTCCACCACTGAAAAATGGAAATGCTACATGAAATGCATGAATATGTAATGATGGAATGACTGCTCTTTATGAAATGACGTGTTTTGTGAAGCCATTGTTAATCTATTAAGGTGAGTCAAGTTGACTTCACCCATCCTGAGTTTTACTTGTCATGTAACTACTAGTTTTGTTGGTCTGGAATAGAGAAGAGGAAGGAGATGCAAGAATTTGAACCCAAGAGATCAATGAGCCCACCATCCAAGGGGTAGGCCTAATGCTCAAATCACAAAGTAAATTATTTCTGCGAAGAAAAGTGATTTGCAAACAAAAGATTTACACAAAATTCATAATAGAATTATGTGACAATGACAATCTTAAAAATATGTCATATTAATGGATCTTTGTTTTTAAAGTGATAAGAGTCAAGCGCCGTTACATCATTCTAATAAAAAATTTATTTTATTATTTTTTGTATAGCACTACATTTCTACTATGTTGTTATAACTCTGTAGATAGAGATCAATCACTACATCCAATTTTATTGGTAGTTGGAGGTCAAATCCCTTCCTACATCTCTACCATCTAGCTTAGGCCAAGTTTAGCATGAAGTCAAAAAGTCAAAAAGTTAAAAAGTTATTCAAAAAGTTAAAAAGTTATTACTATTCACCAAAAGTCAAAAAGTACGGCTGCACAACTCTCAATCCTAATTTTTTCAACTTTTTTCAAATGCAATAATTGTACTACCAAAAAAAGTTGGATTCCCCAAAAGGGACCATTATTTTGGGACGGAGGGAGTATGTTGTTATAACTCTGTAGATAGAGATCAATCACTACATCCAATTTTATTGGTAGTTGGAGGTCAAATCCCTTCCTACATCTCTACCTTCTAGTTTAGGCCAAGTTTAGGATGAAGTCAAAAAGTTAAAAAGTTAAAAAGTTATTCAAAAAGTTAAAAAGTTATTACTATTCACCAAAAGTCAAAAAGTACGGCTGCACAACTCTCAATCCTAATTTTTCTCTACACACTAATTTATACAATTTTTTAATACATATTTTTTCATAAAAAGTTTAAAAGTTAACTGAAATAACCATATTTTTTTCCTCAATTTTTTAGTCTAAAAAATCAAAAAGTACACTTATTTAAGACATTCCAAACAACCCTTTCTGCATCATTGCCTTTGCTTTGCATTGTATTTTATTTGGGAAAAAAAATTACACAAAAATCAATCAGAAAATCCGTGACAAAAAAATCACAAAGGAGTCCAATAGTTTTGGACCCTATCGTGAGAACTATCTTGGGAGTGTTCTTTGATCGATTCGTGTAGGTAGAAGTAATGATTGGACCTTTTTAACTTTAAAAAATCAAAAAAAATAAATAAAAAAGGCCAAAAAACTACATAAAAAACAAATCAAACACACCAATTATTCATGTTTTTCATACAACTAAAAAAGTCACTCCCATGCTAAGCATTATTGGTACAGTAGAGGGGCAGTAGTTTTGCTCTGGTGATTTCCAGTGCTCCTCTGACAACTTTTCCGAGACCTCCAGTGAGATGTAAAAATATTTCTAAAGTATAGATGTGGATTTTTTATGCCTAGAGCTTCTCCCCCGATTTCTAACATAGATTTTTAGATTTTTAACACTCTTCTTTCAATCTTCTTCCTTTACTGTTGTAGGTGTTCTTCTTCTTCAATTCTAGCTTCCGGCAATGACCAATCTACAAGATGGTAGCAACGACAACGACATAATTGAGTAGCAACGGCAGGGACGACGTTGATGGCAATGGCAGGACTGAGTTCTTTGTAGTTACAGATCTTGTTTTCCAAACCACATATATTAGTAGATTACCGGTTTTCCCTTATTGCTGCTGGTTTTTTGACAAATTTTGTTGTTTGTTGTTATAGTTTCAATAGGTCTTCTTATTTGGTCCCTCCTTGTTTTCTTTTTATTGTTCTTTCTCGAAAAAAGTCATTTCCTAACGCACTAACTTGTTTCACCTCATAAAAAAATTAAAAAGTCACTACAAAAGCCAAATCCCAAACAAACTCAACTTGTAGTGGTCTGATCTTTTTTTCTTTCTTTTAATTTTGGGTAATCTTCTTTTAGAAGTCTTTAGGTTCAGCATGTTTGCTTTGAGACTAGCTACTAGTGCTCTATGTGAGTGTATGTAGTTGCTGCTACTGAGACCTAGATTATAATTTACCATTATACATATGATTTCATCAATATTAAATGAAGATTTGGTGTTCAATGGTATTGTACATATAAAATTTTCAATTTTTAATGAAAACCCCAAGTTTCCCCATATCATTAATTCTTTCATTATTATCTCATATTTTATTCTGCCATTTATTTTGTCATATAGTTTATGTATGATTAAACAAGGTTCACTTAGGTGTCATAGTAATCCATATCACTAAAACTTCAATACATGTTATCAATTTCGCTTTCAAAGTTTTTTAATCTTCTAGATTGTGCCACTGTATATGGTACTGAATTCCAATTTTAGGGTTCCAATTCGAATTGAATTGGCAATTGACAGAGTAAAAAACAAATTAATAATTTGATAGTAATATGTGTTTTACATTGATTGGATGAGCCCTTTGTAATTTTTCAAAATTACAAGCCAGACAATGATTGAGTATAAGAAGTCAGTTCAAAAGAGTTACATTGACGACAACAAAAGTAACCTTGTATTGGCATTCAAAATGCTACTTTTGAAAACAAACAGAAAAAAAACCAAAACAAAAAGCTGTTAAAATGATTTTTAAAGCTTTTTTGTCTACTAGATGAGACGCTCTCTTACCAAGCGTGACCAAGCGTGATATCTGAATTCGAATCTTATCTTTTTTAGGAGTTGACAAGTCACTCATATAAGAAGCTTCTTGTGTAACATCAAATATCGTTAATCTAAATTCGAATCTCATCACTAAACACAAGTCACACGTATAAGGAGCTTCTTGTTTAAGATCAAATATCGTTGTATGCATTATGACTCCCTGCAAAAATGGATATAGATAGAGACATTTATATTATATAGCGACTGATGGATATAGATAGAGACATTTAAATTATACACCAATCATGGAGGTGGGTGGGAGTGGTATATACCTCAAGAATCCCAAGCTATAATCAAAGCCCCTTCACTTCTAGTCTCTATAAATAAAGCTGCAATTGCTTTTGTCCAATTCACATTGATTCAATAAAAGAGAAATTTGAGAAATACTTAGCCAATAGTACCCTCTCTTTCTTCTTTTTTTTCCCCTTTTTTTCAAAATTCTAATAATCCAACAAACAGCAGAGAGAAAAATATGGATGATCCGGCTTCGGCTCCGGCGCCTCAAGAGATGACATACGTTGATCATGTCAAACAACGTCAAGCGGATAAAGGCTGCCTCTATGCTTGGTCTGTATTTCTTTTATGCAGTTCCTAGTTTTTCCTTCTTTAGTGATTTTTTTTAATAATGTTTTTTGAACATGTTCGATGCAGCCTATTTGCGATGTGTTGCTGCTTTTGCTGCTACGAGACTTGTGAGTGTTGTTTGGATGTTCTCTGTTGTAAATGCTCCTAATTTATGTATGTAGAAGAAGGGAGGTGGGATTATTGTGTGACAGTTATGTGCGTGTGTTTTCTCATCCTAGCTTCTTCGTTGTTCCTTTATATTTCAGTTATATTTGGTCACCTCAGGTGACCTAAGTGAGTGTAACGATTGAGTTTGTAAATTTGGATTTGTTTGAAATTATTGGTTGCCCTCTTTTACTTCAAATAAAATAAAGCCTCAAATATTTGACTATTTATTATAATGTACATTCACAAACTCATAGCTTTGATTTTTTATTTTTTATTTTCGGTAGAAAGGGAAGAGTGAGCCACATTGCTTACTAGCGAAACATGAATCCGAATATTACACCCTAAGCAAGCATAATTGATTAAAATGGGTAATTAACCATTTAATAGTTTGCCAATATGAGGCATGGGAACCCTATAAATAAACATAAGAAGAGCAATGTAGAACATTATAAAATATATATATATATATATATATTGTCTCAATTTCTTATGGTTTTCTCCGAAACATGTTGACACGTAAGGTGATAAACATATTATAGTAAGAAAAGATGGTTATCTTCATATTATTTAAAGTAAAACGGGGCCATTATTAAACCACAATTTCAATGCTAGTAATACATAGTCAATCTCTTCATTTCGATGTGAGCAGTGGGCTCATATATAACTCTCCCCATAATGTGAATCGATTTAAATCAAGGCCATGAATATTCTCAACCAATCTAATAAATCTACTTAGTTTATACATTTCTTTATAATGTGCAATAAATAAATAAATTAATTAACTTCAAAATTTCAGGCAAGACAAACTTTAATAAATATTATAATAGGTGTCTGTGGGTACTTGTATCAAGCTCGATATGTGGTAAGCCCTACAAGTGCCACATCACCAAAACCCCACCCACATGGCAGACCAATAAGGCACCACGTCGGGCATGTCGTATGTTTGCTACATGGCAAGCCCTACGGGCGTTATGTGCCAAGGCAGCCAAGACTATATGCTTAGCCTAAGCGGGAGCATACATATAAGCCCAAATATATCTAGATATGAAGAGCCCTGCAACAGGCAGCACCATGGCCCCAGGGCCCATGGTCCTTCATATCTCGCTCCAAGGCCAAACAACAATACAATCAGCTCCCGGTTCACTTGGACTTGGATTGATAAACAATGGCTCTCCTAAACATTGAGATAGGCCTGCGGCCCAACCTCCTGCTTGGTCGCCTAGAGGCGAGCCCCTGGCTCTCTTAAACACTAAGGTGGGCCCTGGCCCATTTATCTACTTGGATGCCTAGGTTGGGAGCAGGACCCAGGTACTACTGCTCGGGATCATCAGAGGATACTGGACTGGCGGTTGAGGTCATGGGATCGCCGAGATGTTTGTCTTCTTGCTAAGACAACTCCATCTCGACTAGGCTTGGAGAAGAGGCAATAATGACCTTACGTTCATGTCATCCGATGTATATACGAAACGTTACTTTCTGCCTGTCATGAAACGTTGCTCTCCGCCTGCCGTCAAACCACAAACGACAGAAGGGCTTATATCACTTCTGGCAGAGTTGAGGAGAACGAGCCACCTGTCCAACAGTTTGCTTGGGCTCCAATACTCTTGTGGCCTATATAACGTATCGTATATGCAGCGAGACACAACAACAACAATACAACCAAGTCTCATGCTTAAACACCCTCTTTCACTTTACATTAATATTCAAGGTCTATCACTGCCAACCTCTCCCTCTCCAAGCTTGCCTTGACCTCTTCCTCTCCACCTCCGGTGATCTCAAGCCATTGAAGTGCCCGCCATCTTCCCGGACTACCTTTAACCACACCTCTCACCCACATTATACTCTGCTGGGGAAGAGTGGTGCTTGCTTCACATGGCACCCAAAAAGAACACTGGAACTGCAATAGCGACATCCCAAGGTGGCGGTAGGGAGACCTTAGCGGTGACCTCAGAACACAACTCCGGCAGCTCTCCGGAAGAACAAACCTCCTAACCGGTTATAGCAAATCAGCTACGTGTATTGACTGAGAGCGTCACCTCCCTTCAACAGAACCAACAAATTTTAATGGACGCCCTGCTAGCCTTACAAAGGGCATCTACGCTCCCATCATCATCTAACCCTCCTACATCATCTCAAAATGGCACTCCGCCATTAGCCCAGAATGGCTCAGAAGCCAACCTCACTACGCAAAACGACTTGCGAACCCAAGCAGAAGGACAAACAGCCCCCTCGCTCCCTCCATTAGCTCCCAGCCAGACACCCCCACCACACGTTGGGTCCATTAGTGGAGCTCCCACTGCAGTGGCTTCGACTGGCTCCCCAACTCTTCCAGCAAATCAGAACTTTTCCCAGCCATTAACATTGGAGGTCGTAAAAGAGCACATAAATAGCCTACTTCAGATGAACAAAGGTCACATTCCTACCTCTGCAGAATTGAACCTCCGTCCCCCTTACCCTATTCACATCGCAAGTCTTCCATATCCAGTGGGATATACAGTACCCAAATTTGTCTGTTTCGACGGACGAAAAGGGAACGCCAGAGAGCATGTTTCACGCTTTCTTGACGCCCTTGGAGCTCACCGAGAAGACCGAAACCTTCCCATAAGGGAATTCTCCAAATCCCTCATAGATCGAGCATTCTCGTGGTATGCCAACCTTGCTGTTGGCTCTATTTCTTCATGGGAAGACTTGGTAAAAAAGTTTTACATCAAGTTCTTCTACGTTGAAGAAAGGTTAACCACCCTTCATCTTATGAGGGAAACACAACGACTTGGAGAGGACATTCTCGTTTACGTCCGCCGTTTCAGAGAAAAAGCAGTAGATATACAAGTACCCACAATAATCATCAATATCCTCTCACAAAGACCGACAGAGAGAGATCTAGACCACCACATCTCCATCATGTCAGCACCATTGGAAAACCCAAATGAAAATTTGGGACTTGGGTGGGACATAGAGAACTTTGCAGATCTCAACATGGGAGAAGAGAGCGCTTCCCACAACGCTCAGTCAAACATCTTCTACAACATTCCACTTAACATTCTCTTCTTCAACACTGAGGGCGTCGCTCGCCCTAACTTTCTCCAACACTACATGCACCTACATTCTAGCGGACGCTTCCACCTCATCATCATCACAAACACAAAAAAAAAAGGGAAAGCGAGGCCCAGTTCATGAGCCAAATCATGGGTTACTCCAACACCAAGACCATGAACCCACCTCCCAGCAGCATGGAAAGAGTAACGGACGGAATTTGGTGCCTATGGAATGAAGCTGAAATCTCATGTGATGTAATAGAGATCCCGTGGAATCAAGCCATCGCCCAACAAGCCCACATCTTTATTCGGCCGGCTACATAGCCAATCTATGGGAGATTCGAAGCATACCTCACGGAAGATAACTCTAAGAAGACGATACCCAGATTGTTGTTTAGCTTCCAACGCACCAGGTCCTCCTCACCCAACTCGCAACTGTGGTTCGCCACTTCCCAACTCCCCCTCCTCGCTTCTCACCTTCTCTATCACCTGTCAATTACCGAGATTTTGCCCATTTCCCTCAAGAATCGACGACAGCAACTAATCCCCAAAATCCTTTAGCAAAGAAATCAAAACCCTAGCCCTCCTCTAATGTCAGCTCACACTCCTTCACTTCTGCGCAGAATCTTCGATCAAGATCCAAACCCATTTCCTTTGGCAAAACACTGTGTTCGCAGAACCTTTTAAAAATCGATTTCAAACATTGGCAATACAGACGACCAACCCCAGCGGCAGACCCAGAACCACCCTTACGGCTCGCCGACGGCAACCTCTACGCTTCGCAGGTAACTCTCTTCCTTCTCGCCTCTCTTCTCTCTTCGTGCCGTCTCGGAGCTCGTCGGCGGCAAGCTTTTTTCCCTTCCACGGCTGTCAACCTTCTCTCCCAGTTGAACTTTGGATTTTCTAGTCTTTCACTCTAAGTGGGATTCTAGGTTTTGGTTAGAGAGAAAACCAAAGGTATACCCAGACACAAATCTTCCCAAACAGTTTTCCTAATGGTATAGGAAACCTAGTTGCAGATAACCATGTCAATAAAACATCCTTGCACACCTTGGGTAAAGGGAGAAGACGTGGGTAGCAACCGGATAATACAGAGTCCCTCTCTGATCTAGTTCAAAATAATAATAATAATAATAATAATAATAATAATAATAATAATAATAATAATAATAATAATAATAATAATAATAATAATAATAATAATAATAATAATAATAATAATAATAATAATAATAATAATAATAATAATAATAATAATAATAATAATAATAATAATAATAATAATAATAATAATAATAATAATAATAATAATAATAATAATAATAATAATAATAATAATAATAATAATAATAATAATAATAATAATAATAATAATAATAATAATAATAATAATAATAATAATAATAATAATAATAATAATAATAATAATAATAATAATAATAATAATAATAATAATAATAATAATAATAATAATAATAATAATAATAATAATAATAATAATAATAATAATAATAATAATAATAATAATAATAATAATAATAATAATAATAATAATAATAATAATAATAATAATAATAATAATAATAATAATAATAATAATAATAATAATAATAATAATAATAATAATAATAATAATAATAATAATAATAATAATAATAATAATAATAATAATAATAATAATAATAATAATAATAATAATAATAATAATAATAATAAAAAAAAAAAAAAAAAAAAAAAAAAAAAGGCAAATTCATATCTACTCGCCAACATTCTCCTCTCAACTTTAACAACCCATTCTCTCTAAATGACTTCCGGAGGAGAGAGGCACCGAGATAACACCATTTGGCGGCCGGTGAACAAGGCTCCAAACCGAAGATGCTCAAACTATAGAGCTTCAAGCTCCAACTCTAGAGCTTCAAGCTCCACTCCTACTCACCGTCGCCGCCCTGTGTGTGAATTCTTTCGAAAGATGCTCTCCATGCCTTCATGGCAATTCCAAGATCTGCTATTCGAATCCCCTTGGATCCAACACCCAATATCTGCTCATACAGTCGTAGAGGTACCGGAAGAATTCTGGGGTAAAATAAGAGGATGGTACAAGGCACTAACCATTCCAAAACTTTACACAATACCACTATCCTACACTTGGTGTTTGCGAAACCAAGAAATCAACCTCACTCTCCAAGGATCCACCTGCCAGGCAAATCAGGTATTAATCCCACATTTCGAGAAGATCCGCATCAATATCCTCTCACAAAGACCGACAGAGAGAGATCTAGACCACCACATCTCCATCATATCAACACCATTGGAAAACCCAAATGAAGATTTGGGACTTGGGTGGGGCATAAAGAACTTTGCAGATCTCAACATGGGAGAAGAGAGCGCTTCCCACAACGCTCACCCAAACATCTCCTACAACATTCTACTTAACATCCTCTTCTTCAACATTGAGGGCTTCGCTCGCCTTAACTTTCTCCAACACTACATGCACCTACATTTTAGCGGACGCTTCCACCTCGTCATCATCACAAACACAAAAAAAAAGGGAAAGCGAGGCCCAGTTCATGAGCCAAATCATGGGTTACTCCAACACCAAGACCATGAACCCACCTCCTAGCGGCATGGAGAGAGTAACGGGCGGAATTTGGTGCCTATGGAATGAAGCTGAAATCTCATGTGATGTAATAGAGATCCCGTGGAATCAAGCCATCGCCCAACAAGCCCACATCTTTATCCAGCCGGCTCGCACCGAATGAAATTTAAAATGTAAACTCTCCATGAGCAAACCAAATGCCCCAATTGTATCAAAAGCCTAATTTTAGACGACTCTATCTGAATACTTGTCTGCATGAGTTAATATTTTTCAAAACTTTTTAACATAGTCATATACAAATACTCTCATTAGCAATAAGAGCATCTGTACAGGGGACATTATTGTGGGTACTTGTATCAAGCTCAATATGTGGTAAGCCCTACAGGTGCCACATCACCAAAACCCCACCCACGTGGCAGACCAATAAGGCACCACGTCGAGCATGTCGTATGTTTGCTACATGGCAAGCCCTACGGGCGTCACGTGCCAAGGCAGCCAAGACTATATGCTTAGCCTAAGCGGAAGCATACATATAAGCCCAAATATATCTAGATATGAAGAGCCCTGCAACAGGCAGCACCATGGCCCCAGGGCCCATGGTCCTTTATACCTCGCTCCAAGGCCAAACAACAATATAATCAACTCCCGGCTCACTTGGACTTGGATTGATAAACAATGGCTCTCCTAAACATTGAGATAGGCCTGCGGCCCAACCTCCTACTTGGTCGCTCAGAAGCGAGCCCCTCTCTTAAACATCGAGATAAGCCTGCGACCCATTCTCCTACTTGGTCGCTTGGAGACGAGCCCCTGGTTCTCTTAGACACTAAGGTGGGCCCTGGCCCATTTATCTACTTGGATGCCTAGGTTGGGAGCAGGACCCAGGCACTACTGCTCGGGATCATCAGAGGATACTGGACTGGCGGCTAAGGTCATGGGATCGTCGAGATGTTTGTCTTCTTGCTAAGACAACTCCATCTCGACCAAGCTTGGAGAAGAGGCAACAATGACCTTACGTTCATGTCATCCGATGCATATACGAAACGTTACCTTCTGCCTGCCATGAAACGTTGCTCTCCGCCTGCCGTCAAGCCATAGACGGCAGAAGGGCTTATATCACTTCTGGCAGAGTTGAGGAGAACGAGCCACCTGTCCAACAGTTTGCATGGGCTCCAATACTCCTGCGGCCTATATAACGTATCATATATGCAGTGAGACATAACAACAACAATACAGCCAAGTTTCATACTTAAACACCCTCTCTCACTTTGCAATAATATTCAAGGTCTATCACTGCCAACCTCTCCTTCTCCAAGCTTGCCTTGACCTCTTCCTCTCCACCTTCGGTGATCTCAGGCCATTGAAGTGCCCGCCATCCTCCCGGACTACCTTTAACCACACCTCCTCCGTAGGTGCCCTTTGTAAGGCTAGCAGGGCGTCCATTAAGAGTTGTTGGTTCTGTTGAAGGGAGGTGACGCTCTCAGTCAATACACGTAGCTGATTTGCTATAACCGGTTACGAGGTTTGTTCTTCCGGAGAGCTGCCGGAGTTGTGTTCCGAGGTCTCCGCTAAGGTCTCCCTACCGCCACCTTGGGATGTCGCTATTGCAATTCCAGTGTTCTTTTTGGATGCCATGTGAAGCGAGCACCACTCGTCCCCAGCAAAGTATAATGTGGGTGAGAGGTGTGGTTAAAGGTAGTCCGGGAAGATGGCGGGCAATTCAATGGCTTGAGATCACCGGAGGTGGAGAGGAAGAGGTCAAGGCAAGCTTGGAGAGGGAGAGGTTGGTAGTGATAGACCTTAAATATTAATGCAAAGTGAGAGAGGGTGTTTAAGTATGAAACTTGGTTGTATTGTTGTTGTACCGTATTTGCTCTTTTATAAAGATGAGATTGCATTGGGAAAGAGGAGATGAATTTACTAACTTTTGAAGCTTTACATTGGGAATAGGCGATCCATGAAGAAGACAACTCATAAATTGAAGTTATAGGTTTAGAGCAGACCTACTAATTTTGGAGTTGCTCATAGCATAATGTGATAGCTTGTGTAGCTATTAGTAAAGTGACTTTTTGAAGGCTTTAAGGTATTTGCAGTCTGTAGCAAAGAGTTCGATTGGTTTAAGGATTCATCTTCGGAAAGGTGCAATCCTGAATATGTGTGTATATATACACATTATTATTTATATATATATATATATATATAATTATTATTATTATTATTATTATTATTATTATTATTATTATTATTATTATTATTATTATTATTATTATTATTATTATTATTATTATTATTATTATTATTATTATTATTATTATTATTATTATTATTATTATTATTATTATTATTATTATTATTATTATTATTATTATTATTATTATTATTATTTTGAACTAGATCAGAGAGGGACTCTGTATTATCCGGTTGCTACCTACGTCTTCTCCCTTTACCCAAGGTGTGCAAGGATGTTTTATTGACATGGTTATCTGCAACTAGGTTTCCTATACCATTAGGAAAACTGTTTGGGAAGATTTGTGTCTGGGTATACCTTTGGTTTTCTCTCTAAACAAAGCCTAGAATCCCACTTAGAGTGAAAGACTAGAAAATCCAAAGTTCAACTAGGAGAGAAGGTTGACAGCCGTGGAAGGGGAAAAAGCTTGCCGCCGACGAGCTCCAAGAAGGCACGAAGGGAGAAGAGAGGCGAGAAGGAAGAGAGTTACCTGCGAAGCGTAGAGGTTGCTGTCGGCGAGCCGTAAGGGTGGTTCTGGGTCTGCCGCTGGGGTTGGTCGTCTGTATTGCCAATGTTTGAAATCGATTTTTAAAAGGTTCTGCGAACACAGTGTTTTGCCAAAGGAAGTGGGTTTGGATCTTGATCGAAGATTCTGCGCAGAAGTGAAGGAGTGTGAGCTGACATTAGAGGAAGGCTAGGGTTTTGATTTCTTTGCTAAAGGATTTTGGGGGTTAGTTGCTGTCGTCGATTCTTGAGGGAATGGGCAAAATCTCGGTAATTGACAGGCGATAGAGAAGGTGAGAAGCGAGGAGGGGGAGTTGGGAAGTGGCGAGCCACAATTGCGAGTTGGGTGAGGGGGACCTGGTGCGTTGGAAGCTAAACAACAATCTGGGTATCGTCTTCTTGGAGTTATCTTCCGTGAGGTATGCTTCGAATCTCCCATAGATTGGCTATGTGTGTGTTTATTTATTCGCTATATATATATATATATATGTTTTCTCTGTTTTGTGATGAAACAAAGAAAAAGAAAATGGGGCAGACTGTTGTAAAAATAAATGAAAAGATAAATAAATGAGGAGGTAAGTCAAAAATGAAGGGCTGCATTTTGGAGAGTTGTATAATAATAAAACTGTTATTATTTTGGTAAAGAGCCAAGGGTTCGAGAACTTTTTTTTTTATTTACTATTATTATTTTGATACATATTAGAGAAATAGTCGGGAAATAAAAAAAATAAAATATTAGACCAAGATATTAGGGAGTTACAAAACTGGAGTTCCATGCTTAGAATATTAGGGTGT